AGTTCAATAACGCCGGAATGATATATTATTTATTTAATAATATTTCTCTTATGCGCTCTATTTTTCATTTCATGCTTCAATTTTGTCCCATTTTCCCCACCAAAATTTCAGTCCATGTCAGTGATGCAAACGAGAGGATCTACACCCTTCGATATTTTTGGTTATTTGGTATAAATTATCCCGGGAATTATCCACATTTGATACTCCTACTTACTGTGCAACTTTCTCTGCTCCGTGGGGAGTATCCCTGTCATTGCTGCTTGTACGCGCATACCAAATAACCAATACAATGCCATACCATTCTACCAGGTGCTCATTTTATACTGCTGGGTGGAGAGAGGCAAACGTAAGTAAAGTGCTTTGCCCAAGGACAATGCGACGAGCGTCGGTCTCGAACTCACGATCTATGTCCTAAGTGAGACTTGGTGTGTATGGTCACACGTTTTTGTTGGTCTGGACAGGGCTTTTGAGAGGTGAGTGATGAGAACGAGAGGACCTACCCTTCAATATTTTTGGTTATTTGGTATAAATTATCCACTTTTGATACTCTTACAAAGCATCTTTACTTAAGACTTTTACTTTTCTCCTAATATTTGTTCAGAAATCTTGGCCTAGTGTTAGCCTAGGTGTTTTTTGGTAGCATGGTGAGGGTAGCTAGCAACCTATTCACCCCCTGCATCCGCCAATGCAACAGCGACAAGCACCAAATGACCCTTGTGTGTAAAGCCTATTCCATATTAAAACAAATTAGAATTATTATCTCTGCTTTTGGTAGATTAACAATCTAATGCAGTGTTTAGTCAGAAGTCCAAAATTTGTTAAATTTCGCATTTAATGAGCTTGCCCAATCATTCGTGAAACAAACAATACGATTGGCTTGGTAGTAGGTCTGTGTCTTAAAAAAAGTGCAACTTTAACAACTATATTTCATAGTACAGTTAAATACAGCCAGAAATTTACACCTTCCACCACCGTCTGCTTTCAGCAGTCGCAGGAGCCGCGTCTCTGAACATTCCATATGTCATAATAATATAATATTAATGAAAATGATGATAATAGTACAATATTGTATTATTGAACAAGAAATATATATTATTACAGGGTATAGTATTATTATTTTATTATTTATACTTACTTAGGCCTATCGTATACAACTAAAATAATAGGCCTAATAGCAAGTATAAAAATTGCCAATTCTTACAAAGGAAATAATGAAAATCATGCTTATGATGATTGTATACAGTGGTGGGAAGAAATCTATGTAAGCCTAATTTTTACAGAAATGTAAGGCTTAACTCGATTAAATAAACCTTTTAATTTAAATCACTAACTTGTCAGAGTTTACGAGGCTTCTGGCTGGCCCCGCCCACACCTATGTTACCGTCGAGAAAATCGGCCTTCCCGTCGAGGACATCTTAATACTTAAAATAATTTAAAAAATAATCAACCACGCATCATCACCAGAACGATGTGTATTTATTATTCTCATTCCTAAAGATAAAAGTGTCAATGTGATTGTTGTCAAACGATACACAGAAATTGGATCACTACTGACAAGTTGAACTGTACAACACCAATTATACTTTAAGATCAAAACATCAAAGAGCAACGTATCTAAACATGTTATATCGTACTTGTGATTGGCAACAGGACAAACGGTCGCCTGAAGCGGCACTTAAGGATCTAATAATAAAGAAAAGCGCAAAAATGACGAAATGCGCAAAAATGACGAAGATTATGTGCAACAAGAGGAAGCATCATACTGTAATAACAATTGTATTCCCATAATTTTTGATATACAAAAATATTTAATTTCATATCAAGTTCAAATTACATTGTTGGTTCTGATATCTATTAATAAAAAAACTATTTAATATTTATATGTGAAATTACATTGTTGGTTCTGATAACGCAATTTACTGCCATTCGGTATCAGCCAAAGTGTTATAGCTACAGAGAATTCCGTTGTTTTGTACCGCTATTGTTATTGCATTTAAGGAGCATAATGACAACGTCATGTCTTTACGTCAGAACGAATACCTTATCCTTTCCTCCTTGTACATTTTGTTAAAGTAGAGTAGTTTAGTAGTTGTATTTTGAATAATTAAAATAAAATAGTGTAGGCGGTTCTAACAATACATCGGTAAATCTACATTGTTTTTATAATGAATGACATAATAATAATAATAATAATAATAATACACTACTACTAATAATATTAAATAATAATAATCAATAATAATAATATTATAATAGACCAAATAATAATAATACTAATACTAATAATAATAATTATAATTATAATCAATAATATTTTTATTAGCGGCATAAGGCCTAATTATGATGATGCTGATGATAATAATAATAATAATAATAATAATAATAATAATAATAATAATAAGAACAAGAATAGTAATAATAAAAATAGTAAAAGTAGTAATAATAAAGTTATTAATAATAATGATAGGCCTATTAATTATAATAATATTCAAAATGATAATCAATAATATTAATAATAATAAATAATAATAGGCCTAATGATAATATGCCTAATAATAATAATAATTATAATTATAATAATAATAATAATTATAATTATAATCAATAATATTTTTATTAGCGGCATAAGGCCTAATTATGATGATGCTGATGATAATAATAATGATAATAATAATAATAATAACAAGAATAGTAATAATAAAAATAGTACAAGTAGTAATAATAAAGTTATTAATAATAATGATAGGCCTATTAATTATAATAATAATCAAAATGATAATCAACAATAATGATAATAATTAATAATAATAGGCCTAATGATAATATGCCTAATAATAATAATAATAATGATAATGAAAATGATAATGATAATGATAATGATAATGATAATAATAATAATAATAATAATAATAATAATAATAATAATAATAATAATAATAATAATAATATTTGTATTCGCAATATGTGCCTACCCGTAAATATTCTAATAACCGCCGCCAGGAGTGGCGGCAGGATTCGCCTGGATTTGTTTCTCTGTAATGACCTTCCATACATTGAATAAATTAAATTATTCACAGGCAACATTCCTTGATGTTTCCCATC